TCGGTAAGAACATGCCATGGCTGGATGCTGTGCCAGCCTTTGGGGGGAGGGAAGCATGAAGAAATCCCCTCCTTGGCCTCTACTTAGAGCTTGGAGGTGTGGTAAGCACTCCTGGTGCACGCCCCAGACACGGGAGCCTTGTCTCCAGCCACTGTGCTCTTAACCACCAAACAGGTGACAGATGTGGTCCTTTGCGTGGGTCTGTTGCTTGTGGAAACCACACGCCCATGCATGAGAGTGGGGCCGCCACTCGGGAAGGAACATAGGTTTCTGTAATGGCAGAATGCCTTCTCTTTCGTTCTATGGATGATGATTATGTTGAAATTATCAGAAAGAAGTAAACTCAGCAAAAATATTTACTCTCCTAAAGAAAATATTCTATGATGGATTCTGAGTCTGCACTTAGCAGCCTTGACAGTTAGCTTAAGACTAGTTCCATGTCTTCTCGTCTTAAATGAAGGAAAGAAACAAAAATATGGAGGCCAGTATGGTAGCATAGCAGGCTTATCCTCCGCTAAGTCTAACCTGAAGGAAAAATTTCTTGTCAGGTGTCCTCTTTTGGTTTCCATACATCTAAGTTGATCCTTTTATTTGTTCAGTAATATTTATTGAATCCCAGGTGTTTGCCTGATATATTTCCAGCTATGTCTAGAAATTGTGGCATGATCCTGGGGCAGGTGCTGTAAATTGTAAGCTGTATTTCCACCTGCTGAACCAACATCCCATATGGGTGCTGATCCCAGTCCCGACTGTTTCACTTTTGATCCAGCTCCCTGCTCATCCTGGGAAAATGGCAGAAGATGACCCAAATTCATGGGCCCCTGTGCCCACCTAGGAGACCAGGAAGAAGTGTCTGGCTTTGAATTGGTCCAGCTGCGGCTGTTGAGGCCATTTGGGAAGTGAACCACTGGGTAGATGATCTCTGTCTCTGTGTAACTCTGCCTTTCAAATAAAAACAAATCAAGGAACCTGAAAAGTGATTGTGGCATCACCTGAACTACTGTTTCCTTTCCTTCACTGATATCTGTCCCCTGGGTGTTGCTTCTGCCTCACACTTGTACTCTTGTTTTTGTTGCAGTGGTTTCTGAAGTAGTCTCTGTTGTAGCTTTCTGGTCCCCGTTCATCCTCCCCACGGCATCAGAGGTGTTATTCCATGACTACAACCACAGATGAGGCCCTGCCTGGTCTCTGTTTTCTGGTCTCTGTCCTCTCCATGTGCTGTTCTCTCTGTCTGAGCCCACCGTTTTTCCCATCTGAGAACCTTCACACTCACCCTCACTTCTGGAAGTTATTTGGCCTGGATCAGACAGGCCAAAGCCAGGAGCCAGAAAACTCCATTCAGATCCAGTGTGGGTGGTAAAGCTGCCTTAGAGCAGAACTGTCTGCCCCTGCTTTCCCAGGTACGTGAGCAGGAAGTTAGATCAGAAGTGGAAGCCTCAAGCCAGCATGATGTGATGCCAGCATCGCAGGCAGCAGCTTAATCCACTGCCACCACATTGCCCACTTTGTGACTCTCTTTTTGCATCCTGCTCTCCTGGCCTCTGGCACTCTCCAGTGCGGATTTCCTTCACCTCTCTCCCTTAGTCACTGTAAGATGAATGTATTGCCATGTACATTGTTTGACTATTTTTGATTTTTTTGTACTTTTAAAAAAGATTCTTTTTATTGGGAAGGCAGATATACAGAGAGTCAGAGATAGAAAGATCTTCCATCTGCTGGTTCACTCCCCAAGCAGCTGAAACAGCTGCAACTGAGCTGATCAGGAGCCTCTTCTGGGTTTCCCATGAGGGTGCAGGATCCCAAGGTCTTGGGCCATCCTTGACTGTCTTCCCAGGCCACAGGCAGGGAGCTGGATGAGAAATGGAGCATCTGGGACATGAACCAGTGCCCATATGGGATCCTGGCACATGCAAGGTAAAAATATAGCCACTAGGCTACCTCACTGGGATTTACTTTCTTTTTTGGGGGGGGAGGGGATTTACTTTCATTGGAAAGTCAGATACACAGAGAGGAGAGGAGACAAAGAGGAAGATCTTCTGTCTTCTGCTGGTTCACTCCCCAAGTGGCCACACAACCAGAGGTGAGCAGATCCGAAGCCAGGAGCCAGGAACTTCTTCTGGGACCCCCACACGGATGCGGGGTCCCAAGGCTTTGGGCCATCCTTGACTGTCTTCCCAGGCCACAAGCGGGGAGCTGGATGGGAAGTGGAGCAGCTGGGACATGAACCAGTACCCATATGGGACCCCAGCACATGCAAAGAGAGCACTTTAGCCACTTGGATACCACATCGAGCCCTACTTTTTTCTTTACTTTAAAAACTAATGTCTTACGGGGTGTTTCTCCATGTGGCAGGGCTTCCACCATCATAAATGTTTTCTGCTCCTGGTTCAGAGTTTGGCTTTTGCAGGCACTGGCCGTGGATGTTTGGTGTCAGGAGCTGTGTTTTATTCTTGGGCTAGGATGTAGGAATCAAATTTTGTAGTGCTGGATTGTGTATCAAGAAGAAGCTGTTTAGAACATCCCGTCATGCCTGTGATGAATTCTTTTTATCACCAGGCGCAGCCGTGAGGAAGGCTCCTCCTCGATCAGCTTGGCAGGGTAGCCTTCTAGCAGGCTGTGCTCTGCCTTCCCAGCTGGGGTGCATGCTAAGGCACTGGGTCGCCCTTTACTTCTGCTTTCCCAACTTTCATATGATGTGAATAAAGTTTTATATGTGCTAAGTGAAAACAAGTGATTTGACAACCTGTATTTTCCTACATTTAGCAACTACCATTTATACAATAGATTTTTGTGTGTAACAACACAGCCCTTAACCATGCTAATTAAAATCATCTTGAATAGATATAGTTACACTTAATTATGGATTATACACTTTGGTTGATGTATGCTGTTTCACAGTTTTATTTATAGAACTGTCTATAGCTGGATGCAGATGTTTAAAAGTTGTTTTAATTGTCTTTTAAGGAAAGTCCTGAAATAGAATGCTGGGCTTTTTACCATTTTCTTTACCTACAATGCCATGATGCACTTACACAGCAGAGTGATGGGCTATACTAGACTAAACTATAGTTATAATATAGAGGAAAACAGTGGGGTAGGGGACAGGGAGAGTGGAAGGTGAAAGCCCTGAGCCTAAGGAATTATATCATGAAAAATAAAAATTAAAGATTAATTAATTAGTCCTGGAGCCTTCATGATAGCTTAATTGGGGAATCTTCCACCTACAAGCTAGCATCCCACATGGGCACCAGTTTGTGTCCCAGCTGTTCTACTTCTAAGTAGCCCTGCTTGGTGTCCTGGCAAAGCAGTAGAGGATGGCCCAAAGTGTTGGGACTTTGCACCTGCGTGGGAAACTCAGAAGAAGCTCCTGACTCCTGGCTTCTAATTGGCTCAGCTCTGGCCATTGTGGCCATTTGGGGAGTTAACCAGCAGATGGAAGACCTTTGTCTCTGCTTCTCTCTGTAGGTCTACCTTTCCAGTTAAAAAAAGTAAATCTTTACATTAAAAAAAAATACTGTAGCGTTATTTTAAATATTTGCTCATTTATTTGAAAGGCAGAGAGCGGGAGGAAGGTCATCCCTCCCCTGGCAGACCCTCCCAATGCCCTCAACAATGTGCTGAGTCAGGCTGAAGCCAGAACCTGGAACTGCTTCTTCGTGGGTGGGAGGGATCTGGAGCCATTATCTGCTTCCTCGCTAGGTGCACAGTGGCAGTAACCTGGACTGAAGATGAGCCACGACCAAGCCCAAGGGCTGATAGAGGATGCGGTCATCCTAATGTGGCCTCTGAACCACTGCACCCTCTGCCCTCTTTTAAAAATTTTTCTATAAATTAATATTATCACCATAAATCAAGGGATAACAGAAGGACTATTAGGATGTTTTTTAGTTGATGTATTGTGACAATATGAGTCATTTTAGCACATGAAAAGATGGACTGCCAAGATTGAATTTGTTATGGTTCTGTTTTAAAGAAATTCTTAATGTATAAAAATTGTACACCATGACCTTAGAAGTAATGAACAAAGTTGTGTTAGCTCTCTTTTTATCTACTCTTTCCTGAAACAAAATTCAGTGGGATGTTCACGATGCTAAATCACCAATGAAAAGATGTTCAGTACCCTGGTCATTAAGGAAATACAAGTGAGAGTCAATATTATGACGTCTGTTATCCACAGCTAAAGAGAAAATAATGGCAGTGCCACACTGAGCTGGAGATGCCAGGTAACTGGATCTCCGGTGCATTGCAGGGTGGGAACGGAAAATGGATGGCAGCTCTGGAGAAGGTAGGTGGTGTTCTAGAAGCACCAAGCATGCAGTTTCCATGAGACCCAGCAGCTACACTCCTGCACATTTATCTCAGTGAAAACTTATTTGGCTCACAACCTGTACATGATTTCTTGTTCTCTTACTTTATTTGTAATGGCCAGAAACTGGAAACACCAGCTCTCTTAGTAGATGAATAATAAACTGGTTTGCCTGTACCAGGAAACATTGCACAGCAGTAAAAAGGGACAAACTACTGATAGAGTAAACTTGGATGGATCTTCAGAAAAATATGCTGAATGACAAATAGTCCCCAAAGCTGCATGGTACATGATTCCTTTTGCGTTAACTTCCTCTTGAAAATGTCAAGAACTGTAGAAATGGAGAATTACGTTAGTGATTGTCAGGTATGAAGGAAGGAATGGAGGTGAAAGGGGATGTAGGCTGGCTACAGTAGAGACCCCTATAATGGTGAAAATATTCTGACTCTTTAAGGAGTCATTAATGTCCTGACTGCAGAGTTGCACTAAAGCTGTTCCACATAAAGAATATGGAGGTATTGGGGCAGCAATTAAGACACCACATGGGATGATGACATGCATATTGAAGTTCTCAGGTTCTGAGTTCTCGCTCTGCTCCCATTTCTTTTTAAAGATGTACTTTCTTTTTATTTGAAATGCAGATACACATAGGGAAGGAGAGGCAGAGAGAAGGGAGTCTTCCATTGCTGATTCACTTCCCAAATGGCTGCAATGGCTGAAGCTGGGTCAGTCCACAGGTAGGAGCCAGGAGCCAGGAGCCTCTTCTGGATCTCCCACATGGGTGCAGGAACCCAAGGACTTGAACCATCCTCTGCTGCTTTCCCAGGCCATAAGCAGGGAGCTGAATTAGAACTGGAGCAACCCAGACGTAAACTGGCACCCCTGTGGCACTGCAGGTGGAGGATTCGCTTGCTGTGCCATCTCGCCGTGTCACCTCGCCATCTGTGTCACTCCCAGCTCTAACTTCCTGCTGACATCCAGCCTGGGAAGCATTGGGTTTGGCTCCTGATACCCACAAGGGACATCGCGATCGAGTTCCTCACTCCAGCTGTCACCTGGCCCAGCCCTGGCTCTATTGAGAATTTGTGGAAAATAACAGTGAATGGGGGAATCTGTCAGTCTGCCTCACTGCCTTTTGAATAAATGATACGACGTTTTAGGAAGTGTGTGAGACATAAGTATGTTACTTTTCACCACTGTAGGTGATTCTACAGTGACCTTAAAATTAGACTCCTTTAAAAAAAGTTACATGAATATTCTGATGAATATTCTGTTTTTCCGTGTGTGTTATTTGTTTAAAAGTCAAATTCAATGATGATTCATCTGATTATCCTTTCACTCATTCAAGAAATAATTGAGCACTTGATATGTACTTAATTTAGCTTTTCTATCAAGGTCACGTCAAGCTAAATCCCAAATGATCACCAGCTTGTAATTGTTTTATAATTACTATATGAAATATGCCACCTTATTTTATCATTTAGGCAGTAAATTCAGCAGCTGCTGCTCAAAACCAGCCCTTGTGCATCTGCTGACCTTGCTCTGTTTTCTTAAAACATTTTCACAGTGGCCCGGCACGATAGCGTAGTGGTTAAGTCCTCTCCTTGAACGCCTGGGATCCTGTATGGGCACCGGTTCTAGTCCCGGCAGCACTGCTTCCCATCATCCAGCTCCCTGCTTGTAGCCTGGGAAAGCAGTCAAGGACGGCCCAAAGCCTTGGGACCCTGCACCCGCGTGGGAAACCCGGAAGAAGCTCCTGGCTCCTGGCTTCGGGTTGGCTCAGCTCCAGCCGTTGCGGCTGCTTGGGGAGTGAACCATTGGACGGAAGATCTTCCTCTCTGTCTCTTCTCCTCTCTGTATATCTGTCTTTCCAATAAAAATAAACACATCTTTAAAAAAAAAAAACATTTCCATGGTACAGTTACTATATCTGTTCCATGATGTAGAGCTTATGGACCTTGGGTAGACTTTTATCTGTGTGTAAGAGCTGAAAAGATTAAGTGTTTACTAGAAAAAAAAATTGTTTGCTAGGACACAAGTTCATCTGAATAGAGTGTGGCGCTTCGGCATGGGCACACATACTGGCAGTCCCCTAAAGGGCTAAAGTTCATTCTTAGCGCTCCACTTTAAACTCCCTGGCAACACGGAATGTGCCCTCTAGAATTTTCAGAGCATGGAACTTTGAGCTCCAAGGCAGCACCAAAGCTGGGTTCAGAAAGACAGCTGTGGCTGTAGTGAATAGCATGGAGACTAGTTCACCAGCCATGTGTTTTGAGGGAGAGTGCCTTGGGTCTTGGTCTCCCCTGCCCTGGAGCATGGCTCCTACTGAGTTGTGCTGAATAGTATTACGGAGTCTAACAAATGTGGTGTGGTAGCTCAGTAGCTGGAAGTGAAACTTGATAGCCTTGGGTCTAAAGGGTGAATTTTTCTTTTTACTTAGTGGAAGGGTTGAGAAGAGTCAGGGTAGCCAGGCCCCACCTGCTACTGTAGCTCTCCTCCTTTGGCCCTTTCTGGAAGACTTTGCCAACCTCTTGTAATCCTGATTGGGATAATGAAACTTTGTGGGAGACAAATGTATATTAAGGAATTGAAAAGGTTTCTTTCCTTGGAAATAATGTTGGAAGTTGATTAGATCAGAACTACCCATTGATTTTATAAGCTGGCATATATCTGTAATGTAATAATCCATTAATAAAGTGCTGAACTCTACTCTCACTTGGCTGCATTATTTCTGTTGAAAGGTGAATTCCCAACCCTGGGGCAAAGAAGGAGGGTGGACGTTTTCTTTCCCTTATTTTTTTTTTCTTTTTAAATAATTTGCCCAAGTAAATGTAGCAGCCCAGTTCCAAATGCTGTGTCCAGCAGTGGGGCAAATGTATTGGTCAGGATTTGTGGTAGTTTTGTGCGGGTTGTGGACTTTGAGGGAATACTCTATTGGCAGTTGGACCTTTTTTGGTGGGAACTGAACAGTTTCTATGTTCTCGGTCTGGGGGCGGGGACAGTTAGGGATTGTCTATGTCTGGAAATGTGTAAAACAGCAGCAGCCTGAGACTGCAACATTAACAAGACTGTGTAACCTAGTGTAAAAATGAGCAACATAATTTATTGCTGTTTGTAATCATTGCCATTAATCCACACATTAACGTCTCATCTGAGTATTTTTTTTCCCTTACAGTCTCAAACCATGAATTATGTGGGACAGCTGGCTGGGCAGGTGCTTGTCACTGTGAAAGAGCTCTACAAGGGCATCAACCAAGCCACGCTGTCAGGGTGCATCGATGTCGTCGTGGTCCGGCAGCAGGATGGCACGTACCAGTGCTCACCTTTTCACGTTCGCTTTGGGAAGCTGGGAGTCCTGCGATCCAAAGAGAAAGTGGTGAGTGAGCAAGGCACAGCCTTCCCTCAGGGAGGGGGCTAGTGTCCAGCAGTGAACTGCTGTGGGGGCTTTGTGTTGTTTTCTTTCCTTTTTCTTTTTTCTTTTTTCTCTTCTCTTCTCTTCTCTTCTCTTCTCTTCTCTTCTCTTCTCTTCTCTTCTCTTCTCTTCTCTTCTCTTCTCTTCTCTTCTCTTCGCTTCTCTTCGCTTCTCTTCTCTTCTCTTCTCTTTTCTCCCTTTTCTCCTCTTTCCCCTTTCCTCTTCCCCCGCCCTTTCCCTTTCCTTTCCTTTTCTTTTTGTTTGTTTTTTTTCTCTTTCCAAGAGCTGAAACCATTGAAGGCAGCAACATTAATAAGTAAACCTGTAGGTACCGATTTTGAAGTTGTCTGCTGTTACAGGAAATCTCTCCAAGGGAAAAAGAAACTGAAAACAATTATGATAATCCCACATGTTGCAACTAAGAAGAACAAAACAAACTAGAGTTACACCTGTGGAAGTTCCTTATTTAGGAAAAGAAAGAAAATTTTCTTTACCTTACACTGCATTTTTAAATATTTAGGGTAGTGCTATCATGTGGAATAGGCTGACACACCCAATAATGCGTATATTTGTTTAGAGGAAATTAATGGTACATTTTATTCTAACAGAGCTCTAAAATCTTACTTGGAATATGGACTCAGTTCCCGATGCTGGTGCTTGTCGGCAGACCTGATGGAGATGCTGTCTCACAGACCAGAGGCTGGTTGGCTTTCGTTTGTTGAAGGGAAGATTCCTTCAGAAAGAAGACATTTGTGTTATTTTTTCTTAGGATAGATTTAGATACATCTATGTAGACAGATATAGCCATCCATCTTCTTTCCTCTGGTTATAGAGCAATTGGAAGGATTTCCAGTGTACTTGACACCAATTAAGTTGAAAAACTGAGCTAGTAGGGAAACCTGGCATGTGTATGTTCTTCGCTATTCTTGTCCCACAGTACCCACCTAAATAATGTAGAAATGTTGTCAAGATTTTAAAGCACCGTGAAAGAGCTTCACAGCCGTCCTGCTCTGATACACCAGTATGTTTTAAGGCACCACTGATGTGAGTTGAGAACATCAGTTTTCAGCTCTTTGAATTAACATAGTTCATCTTACTCTTTTAATAAAAGTTCCCCTGCACTAAACTTGTGTTATTTGAACAGCAAAAAAGAGTGAGTTTCACAAAATTCAGTATTTTTTATTTTTATTTTCCCTTCAATAAGAACTCATTTCTAGATGTAACAGCATCAGTTTCCACCCCAGATCCCTGTGTTTCCACGCTCTGTGTGGTCTGGCTTCTGCTCCAAGTCACTCTTTAGAAAGCAAAAGCAGTTGCAGTTTATTTTGTGTCTTAGAAACTTTCCATTGCAGAAACAGTGTTGTTTAGCTACATTTTGGCTTTTCTGGCATTTTTTTTTTCTTTCCAGTAATGGATCTGTTTTGGGGAAGTGCGCAACAATTTTATGCACTCGAATTTCCCTTTACGTTGTGTAAGAATCTGTAACACGGCTTCAAAATGCTTTTAAGGGTCCCTTCTGGGTGCAGGTTTCTGATCACACTGGGTCCGTCTATGGCCTTTTGAGGCAGGCCCTGTATGCAGTCCTACTTCAGCACATGTACATTTGCAGACAGCAACTGTGAGAGCTTCAGAGTTTGTGCCTCTAATTTAGGAAGTAATCAAATTTTCGCGCAAAGCTTCACAGTTCATTGAGTTGAACATCTTGTGTAACCCATGAGTTTTTATATTATCAGTATATCCATAAGACAGAAAGAGGTTTTTTCCCATTCTCTTATCCTGGAAACCTAGAGAATAGGTTTGAGAGACAGTTTGGCCATTTGTTTTAGCAGAGCACAGTTTTCCTGTCAAAGCTGAGGCCGTATCTGCCTTGACACATGCTGGCAGCTTGCACTGACTTTTTCTTTACATTAAAAACTATTTTTTGCATTAACTGTTTAGTGAAGTTGGGATGGAAAGTTAAGGCCTCAGTTTTTTTCTTTTTGGTAAAGATTTATTTATTTTTATTGGAAAGTTGAAAATACAAAGATTTTCCGTCCGATGATTCACTCCCTAAGTGGCTGCAACAGCTGGAGTTGAGCCCATTCAAAGCCAGGAGCCTCTTCCAGGTCTCCTGCGCGGGTGCAGGGTCCCAAGGCTTTGGGCCATCATTGACTGCTTTCCCAGGCTACAAGCAGGGATGGGAAGCGGGGCAGCTAGGGCACAAACTGCTCCATATGGGATCCCAGCACATGCAAGGTAAGGACTTTAGCTGCTAGGCTACCATGCCAGGTCCAGGCCTCAACATTTTAAGTGTAGTGACACCTATAAAGTAGACTTTAAGTCATAACCACTTTAGAACTACCATTTAAGAATTATAATGAAATGATCTTGATTATGCATTCTTATTTTATAGAAACCCAATACTCAATGGTGAAGCTTAAATAACTCCAGAGTTTAGTTTGAGAAAGCAAACCTGCATTTATATTTTCATATTAATTTTGATGCTTTATTACCTAATTGATGATTTGATTGTTTTTAAAAGTTAAATAACCCAGTTAGAACTGCTACCATTATGATTGACAAAAATTTACTTCCTTCTAATGTAAGTAAAAGAGGCTTAAAGAATTCGGGTTCAGGGGTGTTCAATTTAAGCAGTGCTGATTTAAATAAAAGGTAAACTATGTCTTTAGACTTGATAAAAGTGAGTGGTTTTGGACCCGGCACAATAGCGTAGTGGTTAAAGTCCTCATGTTGAACATGCCCGGGAT